CCTTTCTACCTTCTTTCCTTCCTTCCTTCCCTCTTTCCTTCCTTCCTTCTTACTTTCTTTTCTTTTTAAAGCTAATAGCATCATTACTGTTGTCATTGTCATTATTATAGATATTGTTATTATTATTATTATTATTGTTATCATTATTGTTGTTATTATCATAGTCACTCTTGTTGTTATTGTTATTATTGTTGTTGATGTTGTTATTGACATTGGGATAATCATAATGTTATTGTCTATATTAATAGCTGTAGAAAATATTTGCTTTTGAATCTTTTTGAAAAACAAGGAAAAGGGTAAGCATGTGAGACATGTAGGCTAGCAATTGACTCCTGGTGATTGGATTTGTGTGGAGCTATCCATGTTAAGTAAAATTGATATACTAAAATCACAATAGACATGGCATGTATGTACATGCTGTCCCAGCATCCCAGGTTGATGTGATTTTTATTCAGGAAAGATATCTTATCAGTATATTTTTACTTTTTATCTAAATCATCATATTGTAAATAATTCTCCTACATATCATCCTGGACATTTAAGCAATTGCAATAGTATGTGATAAATTTTTGGATTCCATTTCATATGCATCCTCACCAGCTTAGATGAAAAAATAGGCTGAACCCCAAAGAGTTGCAGTATTTGCTCATATTGTGCAGTGCCGTGCCAAGTAATTCAGAATCAAGGAAAAGGCCTGGGATCATACAGCGTGAGCCTTCTTCATGGCACTGAACTATCCTACGTCCGCAGGAAAATAAATATCTTACCATAACTACTTATTTGGTAGAAAATACTTTGTGGTTGACAAAAAAGCTTAAGGGAGGATGTGTGAGATAAGGGAATTGAATAATTTTGTGAAAAAGGGGACTTGTAAAGGGAAGCTTATTTGTAATTTTACTACTTCTTTTTCTCTCTCACTTTTTTTCCTTTTCTTTTTTTTCTTTTTCTTTTCTTTTCTTGTTTTGTCTTGTCTAGTCTTGTCTTGCCTTTTTCCCTTTCTTTCTTTCTTTGTCTTCATTTCTAAAGTGAGTATTTCACAAATTCCCCTTCCCTGTTGATGTCTTATTATTACATACACTATCAATGATTTTGCATTTATGATTTGTCTGTCCTCTTATTATCTCTGTTTGATTGATGATAATGTTTTTAGTTTTTTGTGCTATTTGCATCTATAATAGTTATCATCATTATAGGTATCATAGTTTGTACTCATTTTATTTTATTTTATTTTATTTTATTTTTGAGGGAGGGCCACATTTCTATTATCTTTACTTGGCTTAATTGTTGATTTGTAAAAATGTCATGTATACTGCAGCTTAAATAGAAAAAGATCACTTTGAGAATGTAAGGTTGTAGATTAACTCATTTTCACCCAGGTGATAAAAGCCTAGGCTTCAAGGTTATCTGATAGATTTCATGGCATCAAATGTGTTATTTAAGGCACACAAGCATGTGTGTCATGCATTCTCATGCATCAGTTACTTCACAGCCACATTGAATATAGTGACCCCAAATGTTGGCCAACTCAGGGGCATGGGAGGCCCAGGTACTTTGGGTTAAGAGGACTGACCTTGCCTTTCTTATTTATTCATTTTTCTTTCTTTCTTTTTCTTTTCTTTTTCTTTTTTTCCTTCTTTCTTTTTTCTGTTTTCTTTTTTTAAGACTTACTCTCTCATATCTAGCCCTTTGGGGATCTAAGAATTAATTAACAAAGAAAAATAAACATCTTACCATAACTACAAATGACAGAATCCCTTTTTCAGTTTCAATTTAGGTATTTTACATTAAAACCTTCAAAGTGGTAATTTTCTAAATTTTATATATGACATTTTTTGCTACACAATCTTATTCTTCTAAAAGCGCAGAATTTTTAAGGGATATATAATAAGCTGCACAATTTTATTAACTGCAAAGTAAGCTATCCTACATCAATTTTGGTGAAAAAATATGGAATGAAGAACATTCATCCTCATTTATACCTTTTTTTTACACATTCACGTATTGCATTTTATGAAAGCTTTACTAAACTCAGTTGGCAGAACTTAATGATGTTGTATATTTTATTATGTGTGTAGTATCAAATATCAGGTGAATTTAACTCTTACCAAGACAGGTGCATCATACATGCTTACCATGAAGATTAACCCCTTCACAACGTGTGACGCTACTAGGCTTGAAAATAAATCGCTCGAAAAGTGGCGTGTGGCTGTACACCCAGCGGCGAGCCAGTGATTCGGCCTGATGTACCGAACTCACACGCTCAAAGTCGGCGCGCTGCCATGTTTCGCCAAAGCGTAGTAGTAGTAGTAGTATTTCTTTTCTTCTTCTTCACCCATCACCATTGAGTTAACAGACGAGGTCCTCGCTCAGTATTACTACTTAAATTATTTTATTGACACGGAAGTACAAAAGGTGAACAGCTTATAGCAGGCAGTAATCCCAGCAAAGGGACAGATAAACAATATAAGGCAGTATTGCTAGAAACTTATTAATTGTAAGTAGTGAGTAAGAGATATTTAATTATATTTAGCAGCAGTCAAAGTTTCAGTTTTCTGGAATGTGACCTAACCTTTAGACAATGTTCAAATGTATTTAATTTTTCTATGTATGCTTTTGCTATAATTTAAATTTCATTATATCAGGGAACCTGATGACACACCATTGGTCAGACCTGGTAGTGTCAGACAGCGTAATGTCTCAGCCAGTCCAATGTCATCTATTGCATCAGATAGTTCTACTTCACGTCAACATCAGAAGAAGAAAAAGAAAGATAAACAGCCAGAAAAATCTCCACCTTCTCGAGACAGGAAGAGGGCACACGTAAGTTGAACATCTTGGTGAAAGAGAAATGTCTATGTTGTCAGTATCAACAGTGCTCTACAGAAACTTAAAAGCAGAGGTAACACATTTCACTTAAATGTTGTGATAAGTTTTTTCCTTATATGATATTACAGAGTAATAGTGAACGTATCCCATCTGAACATGGAAGTGTACCTCCAACTGACAACAGTTCCAGTGATGCCCGTAGAAGCAGGCGAGACACAAGTGTCGAGAGTGAACGCAGTACCATCACGCGTAAAAGAGAGCACGAACGGGATAGCAGGTAAGAAAAAAGTAAACTTATTAAAATTACTCATAAGAGCATTTATGACTTTCAGTTGGATACAATGTTATTTTACATATATGTTAAATTCATAAACTCATACACACACACACACGATATGTAAGTATATATATATTTTTTTATTTCTAAAATTGAAAGTCATGTGCTGAGGAAGAGTCTGTGTATGGGGGGGGGGGGGGTGCAAGTGTGAGACACAGTCAGAGAGAGACCTTGAGAAATAGAGAGCACTGTAACCTATGACACAGTTTTAAAAAAAGTAATGTCTAGTTTCAATATCCTCATTTGTCTTATTTGTTAAATAATTCTCCCAAACTATTTAAATGAAAGTCTGCCTTCAGAGCTCTTTCCAAGATAGCTCTTGACAGAGCAAGTCCATTTACAAGATTTACAATAATAGAACTAGTGTATGTGGGGGTAGGTAAATCCAGCCTGTAACCAACATGAACATGAGTTTCATTTGGCTTTGGAAAATGACTTTTTTCCCCATATATTTTTTTAAAAGATCATGTCTCTCATTCTGTACAGAAAAAAACTTTTGTTATGTGCTTCCTCATAATAGATAACACCTGATATTTTCAGAAGACTGTTGCTTAATATATAAAGGCAATTCATATGAATTATTACTCAACAGTTTGGAGAGTACTAAGAGCAGCTCGCGCAGTACCAGTGAATCAACGGAAAAGCGCAGCAAAAAGGCTAGACTGTCAAAGGGGACTAATGATGCAGCTGATGTTCCTATGAACAGTCCAGATGTAAGATCAGCAAACCAACAGATGGTTGATAATAGCCAGAATGTATGGCCACAAGAAGAAGACATACAGCAATCCAAATACACTCAAAGATCAAAGCATTCTCAACATTCTAGTCAGGTAAATTTCTGAATTGCTTTGTTTGTGGCATTGTTTTATTTGTTTGAACACAATGTGTAAAGGAAATATTTGTTAGCAGAAAAATATATATGTATTATTTGATATTTCCTTTATTCTTCATAGTGATTTATTTAATTTTTGGGTGGTATTTCTCTTTGTTTTCAGAAGGATTATAAGAGCTTACCAGAAGATTCTGGAAGAAATCAAGCTACAGAGTTTGGTGAAGAAGAGGAGAGTGTTACAAATGCCAGTCAAGCAAATCAGCTGGCTTTTAGTGGCAAGGTTGCTATTTAATATTTTACACAGCCCTACATATTCATATAAGTAGACAGATCAACTTATAAACTCACTGTATGTATGTATGTTTATTTATACATTTAGTTCTCCATATCCCCATATCCACAAATGGGACCCACTGCAGCTTGAAATTATTTTATGTAGACAACAAGATCCTCAGACTAAGCTCTACACTAAATCTCCATGGATGAGATATCACTGTTGTAGCCTTTCACCATCTTGGTCACTCGTTCTTGGAGACTCGCCACAAATGCTCAAACCAGTTAGATTCATCTGGCAGTTGTTGCATTATTCCCATTGATAAACGAGTGTGGAATGTAATGTGTCTGAGCCATGACTGGAAGAGTATCTAGCTCCATGGAAGATGCCATTTCCATGCTCAGCGTCGTATTCCTGGCATTGCTGGTTATATTACAGAAAATTGAATATTACCAAAAAAAAAAAAAAAATCAAAATGTTAAATATTTTTAGTTTTCTTGCTCTGAGTTATAGGCTATTAGAGAGATGATATGCAGCCTGGGCAAAGAAAATAAAATGGAATGGCAAATATGGGCATTGGAAGAAGGGCTTATGCATATAAAGAGAAAATAACACTGCAAATAGAAGGCATAGAGCCTGATCACTGCACATGAGTGTTGGTGTATGCCTAGCCTACAAGCCGCACACCCAGCAGTGTTGCTCACATAAGCCTAATGCCTGGATTTTGGCACATGTGATTGCCATGAAGCAACTGGATCTAAGGAAATTTGAATGTTATAAAAAAATTACACAAGTAACAATTTCTGTTATTATTGCACTGAGTTATGGACTGCCTTGAGAAATGACATGAAGTCTGTACAAGAAAAGCAGTCTATTGCTATCAGGATAAAGCAAATCAAATATAGACTGAGAAAATAGCAAAAAAAAAGTTTAAAGACATAAATTCAGAAAAAGAGAAAATAAGATTGCAAAGAAGAGTCTTGTCACTGCAGACGAGTGTTTGTGTGTGCCTGGCCTACAAGCCACATATGGCAGTGAAGCATCCAGATGCAATGAGTTAAAAATCAGCCAGTGTTGTTTGGGAAAAAAAATGTTATAGATTTTCCAATTCTTTATAGCTTGTACTGAACATATAGACTTTCTTCTTTCATTATTCCATAAAGAATTCCATATAACAACTATTATATTTCACTAACATCTGTAGGTTATATATAGATTTTAAAACAGACTTGAAAATCTGAGGATTTTGGTATCCACAGGGTTTGTCCTGTGTGATTTCCAAGAAATTGTGCACATGCATGCATATGCACAATTATACACACCTATCCTTCTTTCTTTTTTCCTGGCCTCCTTATATTTGTTTCCTATTCATCTACTTTCTAATTGTTATCATACCTTTTTTTGTGGTTGTAATAAAGTGTATGTTGTCAAGATTAAATTAATCTTTTCAGGAAAAAGGTGAAGCAAATGGTGCAACAGCCAGCACGGAGTCTGGTTACCAGCCAAGACCCACATCAGAACATGAATCCAATGTCAACAGTGCACTATATAGGTCAGCTAATGACCAAACAGGGACGACTCAGGCAGGGGCAATGGATTCCTCAACATCTGTAGCTCATTTAGAAAGCAGTGCATCTATGGTACCACCTGTTACTCATAGATTGTCAGGTGCAACCACAGTAGTTGGATCTGGGGCTGTACACCCTTCTCTTGCTACTGGTCGGCCAGCTGTAGACCAGTAAGCACTTCAGATTTATAATGTAGTTATAATAAAGGTTTATTTTGTTATATAGATAGAATTGATTATATCTAGGAGTAGAATGCTTGTCAGTTTATAATGATTCTTAATTTTCCATTATAGGCATGGGAACTATGCGAACCCTCATGAGAGACATTATGGCTCTTATCCTGAAAGATTTCCAGAAGTTAATAGGTAAGAGATCAGATGTTACAATGAATACTAAACTTATTAGTAAGTTGACTGAGAGATTTAATTGTCTATTTTTTAGCACTATAAGTTGTTGTTGTCCGTTTGTGTAGACTTCGTGTTCCAAAATATGAAGAATTATTATATGAATTCCAGGGATTACACATGCTACCTGAACAAAGCAAAGGAGCTAAAGCACATAGCTGATGGGGAAGCTGACCGTTCTATGCAGGCCATGAAGTACCTCGAGGCTGCCCTCTATTTCATACTGAGTGGCAGGGCAATGGAAAATGATCATGACACCTCTGCACCACTCACAATGTACAAGGATACACTGCATTTTATCAAGTAAGTCGTTTTAACCATTATATTAGCATATTGTGGTATTCTTACTTAGAATTTTATTAAATCTGATAATGAATATCAAACATTCATAATTTAGACATTGTACACCATAGTAGAATCGTATTATAGTGAGAAATTTATCTTTCAGGTGGGTATCATCTGTATTTAGAAGAGAAAATCAAGAGGGAACCATTAATTTAAAATTAGCTGTTATTAGGTGAGTATTGTTCCAAGTTCTAGATTGTTAGTTAGGTTTTTTTATTCCTTATTTGTGAGTCTAGCAACAGTCATTTATTATTGAAAGTGCAAATCATAATTTAAGCAGCATTAAAAAATTGGATTTTATGCTACACTACCAGAATATTTTACATTTCGTTCAAAGTTTTGTATTTATTCACTTGTAATTCACATGGACCCTGTATGCTGGAATGGCATGACACAGACACCAATGGCTTAAGAAGTCACTAAAGAGTCAATCATTTGTCTTATCTGTCTCACCTGTTTTAGCCTTGTCCTTTTTTCTTTTTTTTTCTTTTTCTCTTTTCTGCTATTACTATTTTGCTAAGATTAGTATTTTCATAACATCAGTAATAGTAATAGCAGAATCATTATTAATCCACTGTCACCGGGAAAATTTAGTGGTCACTATGGTATTGTTTTGTGAAATTTTTCATTATCATTATAGACATTATGATTATTTTAGTGTTACCAATATTATAAACAACAATATAAGATACAAAAAAAATATTTTTGAAAATCAAGGAAAAGGGTAAAAAGGTGAGATTGGCTGTGCTAGTAATTGGCTCAGTGGTAACTTATTACTGGTGGAGCCATCTATCTGTAAAGACAATTAATAAACTAAACTCGCTGTGGGCATGGGGTGTACGTACATGCCATACCCAGCAGCATTGGTTTAATAGCAATAGAAAAGAGATCCGCAAAATTAAAGAATGGTATAT